GAAAGACAACGAAAGAAAGAAAAAGAGAGGGGGGGAGAGAGAGAGAGACAGAGAAAGAAAAATAGATAGAGAACGAAAGAGAGAGAGTGGGGAGGGGGGGAGGAGAGAGAGAGAGAGAGGGAGGAAGAGAGAGGGGGGGAGAGAGAGAGAGTGCGATCCTGGAGCGCTCCTCCCGGGACACCCTTAATTAAGAGAACGCCATTCGGCCCGCGACCGATTCCTCGCAGTCCCGCATTCCGAGTTTCTACGAGCCGCAGCAAGGTCGACTTGACGATTCTACCGCCAAGTCTCAAGGACGGCGTCGATGACTAGGCTCGATTTCTCGACGTCATTGTAAGAAGCTTTAACTGAAGTGTCGATCTTCGAACGATAGAGATATAGGTAGGATTAAAGGACAGGTGTAATCGAAACATGTCAAAGTCTATTTTCTCGGTTAGATACTAATCGACAGTTCGACTTATTTCTTAATTAATAATTTCATTGGTGATTTTATTCTGTCGTTCAGAAGTAAGTAAAAGTAAAAGGGAATATATATACGAATATATATACGTAATGAACGTCGGATACTTGTTTTTGTCATCGATATAACATAACTTCTGATTTCTAAGATATTAAATTATGTCATTACCTTTTATTTAGAAAATTACTGGAATTTATTATTAATTGTATTTTTATTTATCTTTATAATTTTGGAAATCAGATTACATAAAGATCTTTAAATTGGTATTTTTTACCTAATTTTTAGAAACTATGTAGAATCATTTTATTATAAAAGATTTTTAAATAAAATATTTTTATTAAAATAATTAAAAATTTATGTTAAGATATACTGTCTTTCAGAAATTCGGAAACGAAATTTTCTCGTATTTTACAAAAACTTAAGTATCTCGATGAAAAGAAATCGAGACAAATTTTTGAAAATATCTTTCAAAGAGGATAAATAAAGTTTCAAACAGTTTCAAACGTTTCATAAAGCTTCAAACGTTTCAATTTTGTCTCTAAGATATTTTGTTCCTAAATTACATAAAATTAAATTGATATTTTTTTCAAAAATCATTTTAAAGCTTAGAAAGTTTATTTTAAAATGCTTGTCTGTTAAATTTTGTTAGATTTTATCTGATAATGTTCTACTCAGATAGCACGCTTTTTTCAAAGAATAACAGAAGTATTGAAAAAATATCAGTTATCATTTTTATGTAATTTAGGAATCAAATATCATAAAGACAAAATTCAAATGCTAGTTTATTTTCTCTCTTTATAATGCATTTTTTAAAAACTTCTCTATAATTTATTTTTATTAAGATACTTAAAGTTTCTGTGAAATGTGAAATAATTGCAAGCATTCGCAAATTTATGAACGGTAGTGTAAACATTAATATTATAAAACTTACATCTTAATATTATATCTTAATATTATAAAAATTATAAAATTTTGCACATTGCAAAATGTCATGGCTGTTTTAAACAGCAAAATGACTTCTTAGGTTAAATTATCAAAATCTTGAAAACTTTTTTAATATTTTTAATATTTTTTTATTTATATAAAAGATTAGGAAATAAAATTATTATTATAAATAAATATTTATAAATATTAATGTCAATATTTTTAAATATAATATTTCTAAATCCCATGAATTGCTTTTCATTAATTTTAGAATTTTAATACATTAAATAAAAAGAGATAAAAGAAAGAAGATAAATTAAAAGTGAAAAGAAAATATCAAGAAACGCATCTACCTATAACTTTATTTAATCGAAAAATATGTACATCTTTAATTTATCCAGATAATTTATTTTTTATAAGTTACATGGTTTGTAAGTTATATGCTTTAATATTATAAAAAATTCTGGTTAAGCATCAGGTTTCTGATGGCGAAGGAATAATGTAAAACAAATACAGAATTCATAATTTTTGTTTAATCATAGAAATATTAATTTATGACGTTCTTGAATAAAGAAAAATAATATATGATATGATGAAAGATAAAAAAAGAAAACTGCACAAGTTTCTAAACTCATTTTATAGCAGCCCTCTTTGTTTCTTCGTTCATTTTTTATTTCACCTGTTCAATATTTTATTTTCTTTTTTCTAATTTATTTGTGAGAAGAAGAGCACCAAAACGTTGTAAAATTAAACATCGTAAATATCAAAATGGGTAAAATTTGTTTTATGACAATGGGTATTATAGCTATAATAACAGTTTGACAGCATCCTTTTGCTGAGTATTTTCTTTCAGAATTAATAACGCTTTTTAGGACGTTGTAAAATTTCATGGAAAAAAAAATGTTATGTGACATGTCACATTGCGAGACAATACATATACAATTGCTACGTATTCAGTTTTCGAATATTCCGTTTTAAAATATTCCATATCTAATTTTTTTTCTTTTATTTATCATTTATCAAGTAAAAAAAAATATCTCCGGGATCATAAAATTAATTACTTTAAAAAAAATGCATATTAAAAAAAGAAAATCCACATAAATTCTAATTTATTAATTGTAAAGTGTCCGGTTTTGGTTTTATTAAATTTTTAGAATTTTGTTTTTCTTGCGTTTAAGCTTTATTTTTCTTTAGTATTAAAAAGTATCAGCATCTTCATTATTATATCTTCTAATTTTTTAAATAATAAATCTGTAAAACCACACATAAATCTAAAACCATTTGTTAAAATATTCTGTTTTTTCAATTTACTTAAATGAAGAAAGCAGAATATTATTATGTTTATTTCCAATTCAATTTATTTAATTTTTCATTTTGAAATGAAAAAATGTTTTTGTTAAAGTTTTACTACACAAGGTTTTAATGGAGGAAAAATTTTTGTATAATTATACTTCTTTTGTGAATAAGGTTTACCCTATTCACATGGTTTCTTCTACCCGTTTCCTTTTTCGATTCCTGTTACAATTTAGGATTCTTCTGGAGATTTCTAATAGGATCGCCTGTGTGGCTATTATGTTGAAATTTGCAAAGTAATGATACAGATATAAACATGTTATTCATACAAACATAAAAGCAAGCCGATGAATGAATGGGAGGTCTAAACGTTTTGAAAGCAATATATGTAATAGCTTGTGAACTCATGTTTCCTTTTATTGTTCAGAAATATAGATATAGTTTATTAAATTATAAAAATATAAAAATTTATTAAATTAAATTATGTAAACAAAAGAAAACAAAGATGTCTGCATTGTTTCTATACTTTGTTGTGGTTATAAATTTAATAATACAATATGATTGAGAATATATTATGATTTTTGAAAAATTAACACACCATAGTCTTAAGTTAAATACATAATAAAAAAATATATATTAATATTTAACAATATGTGTTATTAAAAACAGAATTAAAACTCTTCAACAGTTATATAATTTATATATAATGTATGTTTCTTGTAAAAAAAATTAATTTAAGCATTAGTTTGTTAGCAGAACTAATAAGAATTTTTAATTAATGCACAGATTAAAGTTCTAAAAAAGTTATAAAAAAGAGAAAAACTTAAACAATATAATATATTATAGGACTGTGTGTGTGTGTGAGATAACACAAACTATAGAAATCAAAGCTTTAAACGGTCTAGCTGAATCTTAATGCTTGTATGATTCTTGTGCGAATTTATATATTACATATGTAGTCCCCAGAAACGTTTCGAAGATGCGAATAAGCATCAAAAATTTGTTAAATAAATTAATTGCTAGTCAATTTAACTCGTGATATTACTGCGATAGTTTAGTAGAGTTAGCGTTTTAAGACCAAAAAATAATTTCGGCGTACGTTTCTGGAGACTACATACGTAGTATAAAAATTCACATAAGAATCATACAAGTATTAAGATCTAGCTAGACCGTTTAAGACTTTGATTTCTATAGAAAAACTTAAATTTTACTTAAATTTTAAGAAAAATTATCTTCAACTATTTATAAATAAAACATTAATAAACGTTAATATATTAGTCAAGATACAATCCAAATTAGTGAAAGAACATTTTTAAGATTAGTACCTTAGAATCATCGAATTCGGTCACAATATAATTTTTCGTAATTAAAATTTTTCTACATACAGATTTGGAAAACAATCAGATTTTATCTTATCTGATGTGCATTTTATCTCTGAGTGCCAATCATGCACTATATATCCCAGACATGAAGAAAGTCAGACAGGGCGAATCAAAAGAAGGGGATGGGGGGAGGGGAGCAAGGGATCCTATATAGTCGGCCAGAAGGAACATAATGTTTTCATTAGGTCGCGATCATTATCTGGCCCAACTGAACAAACGAGCGAATGCCACGAGCGGCATAGCGCACACGTATTAAGACGAATGATCGCGGCGATCTGGTAATTAATTACGGCCTCCCCCAGTGTTACTAATATTAATTAATTCCGTGCGCGTCCTCGGGACCCACGCAGTGCGCGTGACCCCGCACTGACTGATGCTCGGGTCATCGCCTAGACGAAATCGTTGAGGATTGCGA